TGGCATGATACTTCTACTACTTTTATTGTTGTTACTACTAATATTCATACTAATATTACAGATTACTTCCATTACTTCTATTACTATTATTCATTAAGTTTTATAACTCTTGTCACTACTCCTACCTTTTACTTGTTCTATAGGAATCCTATGAGGTACGCCCTTTTATACTGGGTGTTAATATTGAAAATGATCTTTTTATTCAACTAAGAAAGATTTTTAATTGGATTTGATAAAGAGATCTAAATCTTGGTGTTACTCTTGTAAAGATTATTATCGTTAGATTGAATTTCATTGATGTATTGTTTTTAATCTGAATTCTATCATTTTTATATATATGTGTATGTGTGTGTGTATGTTATGCAAATGGAAATATTTGCTAGTCCTTTTCAGAATATATATATACATATATATTAAATAGATATTATTATAGAAACGTTAGTGATCGATTTGAAATAGTATTACATCAAAGTGAATGGTATTGATTTCGAAATGTAAAACTTCATCAACCCTTCCCAGCGCTATGGTAGGTCGCGAGCCCAGTCGGGGTCAAAGGTCGATGAACGTCTGCAAAGATTTCGACCCTACACCCTCAATATATATATATATATATATACAGGGTGTCTAAGGTTTTTCCGGCTAAACGGTGTCAGCGAATTCTTTTGTATACGGAAATAATAAAATAAAAATGATGTTACACAAACGTAGCTCTCATTTAAAACTTTTTTTTTTTTTTTTAATGAAAAATCAATAACGCAAATATTAAATCACTTAAATTTTCATTCAAAGTATGAACCGTTTAAACGATTGTAAAAATTGGACACCACGTTGTAGGAAAATTATGATGAGCCTGTTTCGAATAATTATCTGTTACTCGACAATAGATTTCTTCAAACGTAATTTCTAAAATAATATCAAATATTTAAATTTGAAATTAAAGAGGGGGAATAATATTGCAAAGGATTAAACATCGTAGATGAAGCATAAGAAATGAAATTAACGAACATAATCGATTGAGAATTTAATTGCCGAGCAAACATTTATCATTTGAATTTGAATTTCTTTCATGCCCCCCTCTCCCCCACCGCCCCTTTTTTTAAATTAAAGTTTTAAACGACACACTTTACGTTTGTGCAACATTATTTCTTCTTTTTTTTTCGTCGATCAAACAAATTTCAGACACCCAGTATATATCATCGTTTTGGCCGGAAAATCAAGCTTGCAGAAACTTCTCGTAGGATTTCTACGTTTAAGTAGTCAAATACGAATATGATCAGACGTTTCATGTAAATTAAGGAAAAGAAAAAGAAGAGATATCTCTATTTTATTGGTCGATTAAATTCATTTCTTATTTCATTGTTTATGAGAAGCACTTTTTAACGTAAATTCCAAGAAGAGAAGAAGAAGAGTAATAAAAAAATAGATAATAGAAAATAAAAACGAAGAAAGAAAATAGGACGAGTGGATTTTTTTCTTTTGTATGGCATACAATCAAAGAAAACAATTTTCTAACACGCAAAATTCAACGATTCTGATAGAAAAGTATACTTAAAACGATACGATTTAATACCGTATACTAATCTTTACGATAAAAATGAAAACGCGTATATTTGATTATTCCTTTAATTTGTTTAAAATAGAACAAATTTTTGTTGATTATAAAAATACAAATAAAAATTGGAAATGTGAATAATATAAATGTTTATAAAAATAAAATATATATATATATATTTTTGTTTGTTTATATATATTTAAAAATCGAATAAATAAATAATATCTTTAATCTAGATATTAGGATTATTTTGTTGTAATACGATTTTATTCGAGAAAACAAATTAGAAACCTGCCAAGTGTTTCTTTAAGGGGTTGCAGAAAATTCCGGAACGTCTGGGGACGAAAGAGAAAGAGAAAGAGAAAGAGAGAGAGAGAGAGAAGAGGGCGTTTTCCCAGGGTCAAAGGTCACTCTAAATTTATACGGACTACGAACTTTGGAATTCCGAAAGATCAAAGATTCCAACACGAATACCGATTTATCGAACAATTTATCAATCAAATAATTTGTTGTATATTTGCTATAAACACTTCTTTTTATTTTTAATTATTATTTTAACTTTTAATCATTTCTAGTATATATATATTTTTTTTTTAAAAAAAAAAGATCAATAAATCATGGAACGATAAGATTTTTATTTTCATAGATTTATGAAAGGAATATCACGTTTGATTGATTAATAAAATCATTTGTAAAAATACGCGTTCAATAATTATTTTAATAAAAAATAAATAAATTATTATCTTTTGTTTTTGACTTACCTTACTGAAGTAACCAACCGTATGACATCCTTCAGAATCGCTAATGGTCATCACGTAGAAGAGGAACGGTTCCACGTCGTAGTAAAGAGTTTTATGATCTAAGAAGAACTTCGCTAGGAGACACAGATTTTGACAATATTGTTTGTAACGTTTGCCATCCACTTCCCAGACACCGATCTTATCTTTTCTGAAATTCAAAAAAACAAACAAAAAAAAAAGTATTATTATTAAAGAGTATATATATATATATAAAGAAATGTTTATACAATTAATTAATTTATTTATTTATTTATAAATAAAATATCAACCTGTATACTTCGTGTCCAGGTGGATGTCTCCATAAACATTTTTCTCTGTGTCTTCTCAACACCTGACGACTCTTCGCATATCTCAGACAATATTCGCAAAGATAAAGTTTCGGTGCACGACTAAATTCTTCCGGATACGGGCTTTGATACCAAACTTCCATTTCCCATTTTCCCATTTCGATGCATCGAGTACCACCGCTGTTTCTGCCATCTCCGTCGTAGTCCAATTCTTTCAATTCTTTTTCCTATCGAATAAATCAAATTTAAAATGATATATATATATATATGAGATAAGATACATTTTGTAGATTACAATAAATATATATATTATTTACAATTTTTTCGCTGGACGTCGCTTGAGCTTCCATAAATAATTTCAAATCGTAATCAGAAGTGAGATTGGTCAAACGCGGTTGTTTGTCCTTTTCATTTCCAGGAAGATCATTACCGCTATCGCTACCATTATTTTCACCCGTATGCGGTTTCCACTTGTTTCTTATCTCTCTAACTTTGAGTTGATAATTACGTTGTTCCGTAGTCTGATGTCCACCTTTGGGTGATTTTTTAGCAAGATTCGCTATCGACTTCTTCCGTTCATCTTCCTTCTTTTTCCTTTCTTTATAAAATTCTCTGCAATATTAATTAATAACGTGCAATAAGTAATACTACAAGAAAAAAAGAAATACGAAGATCTAAAAGATTTTTATTTGATTTTTCTTACATGCAATTTTGCGGCGTAGTGTTGTGATACAAGGGACACGCTTCCAAGGTAAAATGTGTGTCAAGTTTTCCAGAAAGATGGCCACGGGAGTCGCAGCATGCTGCCAATGGACATTCTCTTTCCTTGGTAGTACGTGTACGATTGTATGAGTTTTGTCCGGTTCTATTAGCAGCAGAACTGGAAGACCCAGTAGTAGTGCTCTGCGTTGTTCTATTGGTCGTTGTGGATGTTGAATGTCTAGCGCCTTGACTAGGACCAGCACGCTTAACCGGTGACTTGCTCGTACTTCTCTTGCTTTCAGCTACTCCCGATAAATCACACCGGATCAGTGGAATTTGCAGGATACGTTTACGCTCTACCGTTTCCATACCTGAGAACCATACTGCCGCCATAAGCAAAAAGACTGTATCTGCATCTTAGGACACTTTGGACATGCGCTAGTTTCAAATACAAAACATTTTTCCAAATCGATCAGCAGAATCCTACCAGAGCGATGATTTAAATATGTCCAATTTATCCATTCATCCATTATAGCAAATACTGTTTTTTTGTGTTAAGGGGGCAGCATAGAGTCCTATATATTCACTCCCCCAACAAATTATATTCTACCTTTATTTTTATTTATTTTTTTTTCCAAACTGCTCATGCTTTTATCTACTGCATTAATATCTACCCGTTTTCTCTCTTTTTTTGTTCACATGTATTCTATTTGCGATTATAATTTAAACGCGATAATATCAAAAGCATGCTGTTTTATAGAGAAAAGCATAGAATATATTCTTTAGTATTTCGTTAATTTAAGAAAGTTGATAGAGAGCCAATATAAAATAAGTAATATGCATAGAATTACAATCAATTAAAATAAAAAACAATTATTATCTGTTAGTACAATGCAATAGAATAAAATAATTGTATTAATACCTGTGTCAGATTCCGAATCGCTGGCAGCTTTCGTTTGCAGTTGTAGTAACTTGCTTCCTTTACGAGTCTGCAACTTCCGTTTTCCTTTAACCGTTCCCTTAGAAGGATTCACATCAATGTTTTCATCTATTTCCTTGTCACTGGCTGACGCATCTCCATCGTCTTCACTTTTTATTCTACCTACTAATCAAATATATTTGTTAATTCAAACTATTCGATAATTAAGTCATATAAATCGCAATATAATACCTTGTCTCTTTGTACATTTTAAAGGTTTAACCGGTGCAACCGTTGCCGATGGTCTTTTAGGTTGAACACTTGCTGCAATATTCTGTGCTACCGGTGGTGGAATATCTTTCTTTTTAGGTTGAGATTGTGGACTAGTAGCACTTTCCGATGAATCCGAATCGCTGCTACTATCTGTTGAACCAGAGGAACCTGATCCACCCGAACAACTCTTGGAACTGGCAGAACTATCAGATTTTTGAATTTGCGGAGGTTTAGCTGCTAGAGCTGCAATTTTGAGAAACAAATTCATTAGAAAATCTTTCTATTTAAATAGAATAACGAAAATTTGTAAATTTAATAATTACCGGGTCTTGGTGGTACAGCAGCTTTTAATTTGGGCTCCGCAGGTTTCATCTTAGGTTGAGTTTTGTTACATTTGACGTTATTGTTAGCCGCTTTAATTGCATTAATTTTAGGTGCAGAAGAGTTGTCGCTTTCACTACTATTTTCAGGACTAAATATACTCTTTTTTTTAAATTTTTTTTGCAACGGTTCCAACGGTATTTTGGTATTTTTATCCGATACTTTTATATTCGTTCCCGAGGGTCCTATATTTAATAGAATAAAACTATTTCATTAATTATTACATTAATAAATAAAATATTATTTTACTATTACCTGAAAGCTTGACTTGTTTAGTATTCGGTTTAACGGCTAAAACATTTTTGTGTTGGGTAATGTTAGACGATGGCTTGATAGGTGATTTTTGAACTTTAACTACTGGCGCTACAGTTGCTGTAGCTTTAGGTTTAGCAGGTAATTTCCTTTTCACAGGTTTCAATTTGCTAGGTGACTCTTCGGATTCTGAGGAATAAACTACTGGTCTAGATTTAGGTTGCGGTCTCTCCTTGCTTTTATTTTCTGCCGTTGTGGTCGGTGTTGGTTCAGTTTTAGATTTAACATGTCTGGCCTGTGGAAACGGTACTTTCTTCTTGGATCTTTCGGAATCAGATGCTTTCTGACTATTAGCCGAACTGCTAGAGTTTTCAGAATCGGATGAACTTGATTCACTACCAGAACTTGAAGAACTACTCGACGAAGAGCCAGAACTCGACGATGATGTTGATTCAGAACTCGTGGTCTGTGTTGATAAAAAAAAATAAAAAAAAAATAATAAAACAATATTATATACATGAATTATTTTAATAAATCATAAAATATCACATTTACATTTTATTTCTTTTTTAAATTATTAAACTATCTTAACAACAAGTGTTGTCTATGAAAAAAAGAGAACAATAATATTGACAATAAAAACAACAGAAGTTGGTAAACATAAACACTTACTTTGCGTTTGGGAGTCATTTCTACGATGCTATTTTACTAATGAATTCGAATAATCATTAAATATCATTTCTCTCTCGTTAATTATGCGATATCACAATCACAAAAGTAACATATTTATTTTCGATATTACTTTATGCAAAATAATAAAATAGTCGTAATACAAGTAAACACAGAACCATTTTACAACGATCATAGATTACATATGATATAGTAAGGTAACTCTATTGTATGTTTGTTCTACGGATATAAATGACGTAATCTTCATTTATCTGAAATATTTCAAGATAAATATGTTAGTACGAAAAATTTTAGTTAATTAATTTATTATTAGTATTATTTTATATATATGTTTCAATATTAACATTTCAAATAAAAAGCAATATTTGAACGTAGTGCGTTCAGCCATCTTGAATTTAAAGTTTCTTTAAAAACACGCTGAAAGCGCTGTACGCGCTGTTCATTTTTATTATGATGTATTCTCATGTATATATAAAAATGTAACCTAACTTTTTTTGACAGCTTCTGTCAAAACAAAAAATTTAAAAAAATATGATTATCTCTTGATCGATTTTTTAATTATTTTTTTATAATAACATTAAAAAGAATAAATATATTGTACAATTTTATTGTTCACATCCTGATTTTGATTAATAAATATCAATGTACGTTAATGCTAGATCTGATATTGTTGATATGCAGATTTAATTTCATTAACTCAAAAGTTTACTTTATTTAGGATATTTTGTCTATCTTACTAATTGTTAGATATACAATATCTAACAATATAGATATATATTATATAGTATATCTACATTTGCTTTTAATTGCGAATAATGATAAAGGTTGAGATAGTAATATATACATATATATATATATATATAAAAAATATGTATGATAAAAAATGATGATGTGTCTTGAATAAAGAC